AGCACTGGCTTCGATTTAAAGTCACCAGCTGCATTAGTCTCTAACAAGAGAGTCAGCCTGTCTTTTGAAGCCAGGTATTGACTTCTCCTCTTTAGTGACTACAGTCCTCAATGACATCTTCTTCAAATATAAGATTGTTTTGTTCTCATTGAAAGTCTGTTTAACGTAGGTGCCTTAATTTGCTGCAGTTTTTCTACATCAGCACTTGCTGCTTCACCTTGCACTTTTTTGTTATAGAGGTGGCTGCTTTCCTTAAACATCATGAACCAATCCCTGCAGCTTCAAACTTTTCTTCTGCTACTTCCTTGCGTCTCTCAGCCTTCAAAGAACTGAGGTGTTTTAGAGCCTTGCTCTGGATTAGGTTGTGGTTTAATGGAATGCTGTGGTTCGTTTGATCTTTGATCCAGACCACTATAACTTTCTTTGTATCAGCAATGAGGCTGTTTGGTGCTCTTGTCATTCATGTATTCACTGGAGTAGCACTTTTAATTTCCTTCAAGAACTTTTTCTTTGCATTCACAACTTGGCCAACTGTTAGGTACAAGAAGCCTAGCTTTTGGTCCATCTTGGCTTTTAGCATGTCCTCCTCACTAAACTTAATCATTTTTAGCTTTTGATGTAAAGTGACAGACATGCAACTCTTCCTTTCACTTGACCACTTAAAGGCCATTGCAGAGTTATTAATTGGCCTAATTTAAATACTGTGTCTTAGGGAAGAGGGAGGCCTAAGGGAGGGGATGAGACAGAGGAATGGCCAGTAAGTGGAGCAGTCAGAACACACACAACATCTACCAATTAAGTTCATCGTCTTATGGGGGCATGGTTCATGGTACTCCAAAACAAATACAGTAGCAACTTCAAAGATCAGTAATCACAGATCACCATCACAGATGTGATAATGAAAAACTTACATTCTCACAGAGATACAAGTGGCATAGAGACACAAGTGAGCATATGCCATTGGAAAAATGGTGCTGGAAGACTTGCTTGACTCAGGATCTCTACAAACCTTCCATTTGTAAATAAGGCAATTATCTGCGAAGCCCAATAAAGTGAAGCGCAGTAAAATGAGATGTGTCTGTATACAGTTATTAAATTATGGTAGATAGCTTTTATTTAAGTAATTTATACACTTATTTAGCCTAGTGGATTTATTATTATTTATTATTCTTTTTGAGATGGAGTCTCACTCTGTCGCCCAGGCTGGAGTGCAGTGGCGCGATCTCGGGTCACTGCAAGCTCCGCCTCCCGGATTCACGCCATTCTCCTGCCTCAGCCTCCCGAGTAGCTGGGACTGCAGGCGCCCGCCACCACGCCCGGCTAATTTTTTGTATTTTTAGTAGAGATGGGGTTTCACCGTGTTAGCCAGGATTGTTACCATCTCCCTGCTTTGAATTTTTAATCTTATTTTCAACTTTCTGTGTCTTTTATATTTACATACATGTTTCATAATAAGCATAAACCTGAGTCTAATTTTTTCTTTCTGCCAGCTCCACTTTCTTCCTTCTTTCTAAAAAGAGTCTCAACATATTAATATTTATGTTTGGATTTACTTCTGACACTTCATTGGTCATGCTTTCTGAGTTTCCCCCATCTTCCCAACACAACGATGTATTTCCTATCAGGTACTAAAATAATTACATTTTCTTGGTAATCTTGTTTCTTGTGCAAGCTTTACACCTAATATTCAGTGTTTTTCAAAGTGGAGTTGAGAACCAATTGTATCATAATCACCTTGGGTGGTTTTTAAAATTAATTGTGGCAAAAAACACATCACATGATTTACCATTTTAGCTATTTTTAAGAATACAGTTCAACGGTATTAAATTTGGTTTTCTAGCCATCGCCACTATCCATTGCTACAACTTTTTTATTATCCTAAACTGAAATTCCATACCCATTACACAATACTTCCCCATTCCTCCCTATTCTTATCCCCTAATAAGCACTGTTCCACTTTCTATCTCTATGGATTTGACTATTCCAGGTATTTCGCAAAAGTAGAATCATACAATATTTGTCCTTTCAGAGCTGGCTTATTTCATGTAGCATAACATCTTCAAGGTTTGTCTATGTTGTAGCAATGATCAGAATTTCATTTCTTTTTAAGGCTGAATAGTATTCCATTTTATGTGTATATCATATTTTGTTTATCCATTCATCCATCGATGGACACCTGAGTTGCTTCCACGTTTTAGCTATTGTGAATATAGGTGCTATGAACATGAGTGTACAAATATCTCTTCAAGTCTCTGCTTTCAATTCCTTTTGGTATATACCCAGAGTGGAAGTGTAATTGCTGGATCCTGTGGTAATTTTATGTTTAATTTTCTGAGGAACCACCATGCTGTTTTCCACAGCAGCTGTGCCACTTGATATTTCCATTCACAATGCACAAGGGTTCTAATTTCTCCATATCCTCAACTAGGACTTGTTGTTTTCTGTTGTTGCTTTTATTTTTACAATAGTCATCCCAAAGTGTGTGAAGTTGTATCTCATTATAGTTCTGATATGCATTTCCCTAATGATTAGTGATGCTGAGCATCTTTTCATGTGCTTAATGGCCACTTACATATCTTGTATACCTTTTTTGGAGAAATGTCCTATTCATTGTTAGATTGAGTTGTGTTTTTTGTTGTTGTTGAGTTTTAGGAGTTCTTTTTATATTCTAGATATTAACACTTTATCAGATATGTGATTTGCAGATATTTTCTCCCATTCGGTAGACTGCTTTCTTTCTCTGTTGATAAGTGTCCTTTGATCCACAACCTGGGTGTTTTTTAAAATATAGGATGTTGACTCCCATTCTACATCTACATAATCAGAATGCCTGCAGGATGGAGTCTGAGTATTTGTGTTTTTGAAAATTGTACCAGATAATTATTGTAACTCACTCTTTTAGTTGTTGCCCCTAAATTTTTTGCTAGCATTTAAAAACATTTTTTGGCATACAATTTGAGAACTGACCAGGGTATCCTGGTCCTTTCCTGAGGACAATTCTAAGACAATTTTACCCCTCCTCTACCTGTATTCTGACATTTTATCAAAATTATATAACATTTAGTTCTTGATTGTTACTAATTTTTTCATACCATCCCTTCATATTTTGGGGAATTCCTTTTTTTTTTTTTTTTTTTTTTTTTTGAGACGGAGTCTCGCTGTCGCCCAGGCTGGAGTGCAGTGGCTGGATCTCGGCTCACTGCAAGCTCGGCCTCCCGGGTTTATGCCATTCTCCTGCCTCAGCCTCCTGAGTAGCTGGGACTACAGGCGCCCGCCACCTTGCCTGGCTAGTTTTTTTGTATTTTTTTAGTAGAGACGGGGTTTCACTGTGTTAGCCAGGATGGTCTTGATCTCCTGACCTCGTGATCCGCCCGTCTCGGCCTCCCAAAGCGCTGGGATTACAGGCTTGAGCCACCGTGCCCGGCCATTTTGGGGAATTCTTTCTTTATAACTGCATGAAGCCTCTCAGACACGCTCCCAGTGATTTTTCAGACTTAAACTTTTAGCCACAAATTGTAAATACAAGTCAAAATAATTTTCTTTCACATATAGCCATATAAATTTTTTCATTTTGACAACTCTGTTGTCATCTAGAATCCTATAATGCTGATGAAATGTATGTTCTTCAAAGTCTGATCTGCTAAATTGAGTCTGATTCTCATTTCTTTGTTGATAATGTGTCTTTTCCTTTTTGTTGCAGTTTTTATAAATCATCCTCTCCCTGTTTCTCACTCTGGAACCTTTTAGCTCTTCTATCTTTGAAACTTAGAAATATTACTAACATGTATGTTTTCTCTCTCTCTGTCATTATTTCTACTTCATACTAAATGCCCCTTCAAAATTAATAACATTTTTCTCCAATCATGTCATCAATTATCTCCCCTGCCTCCAGCCTCTCTGTTCATTATTTCTGGAATAGACAGATGATGATTTCTGGGATTTTTCCTCAATTTCTTTTTACTCATATTTCACACTATTTGTTACTTGACTTTATGTTTAAAAATATTCATTCCTTTTATCTTCCATATCAATTGCTAACTTTAGCCCTCTCCATTTTTTTCAGACCTTCTACTGAGTTACTTTATTTTGGCAAGAGTTTTAACTTCTAAGAACTAATTTGGTTTTTTATGTACTTTTTCCCTTGGCATCCTATTCTTATTTTATTCCCTTCAATGTCTGTTTTCACTTTTGTCCTTTGCTTTCTTGCTAGGCTAGCTTTATTAAAATGTTTCATAATTCTTCATTTCCCATTCATAATTAAAATGATGACTAGGTGAATCACTGGAAAGCCGGTCTGTGTCTCCACACAGGTAACACGTGTATTTCCCCTTTTCATGTCCTGGGGAGATCTGGAAGTACTACAGGCTTCGCTCTGGCTTTATGATCTGGTTCCAACACCCATTCTAGGAAGCTTTCTACAGTCAGATTCCCCATTTATTTATAAAATGTGTAAAATTATTCTTTCAGCTTTAATCAAAGAGTACCTGTTACAGCCAAACTCTCTGTAAAGTAGGGTGTGGGAGGGGAATTTGTATTAGAGTCAGGACATTATCAATTTCCCAGAAGATGCACTCTGTCTACTCCCACATACTGTAGTTGCAACCCCATGCTTAAAATTTCTGTACTCTTTCCTGCAGACTTTGTAGTATTTCTCTGCTGATATCCTGATCACAGATTCTACTTGCTTTTTATCTTCCAGGAGTTTCTCAAAACTTTGGATCTACTAGTATAGAACTATCCTATTTTCCTGCAGTATTAGGAATTTATTCTTTCTTTTTAAGTCATTTCTGTCATATTAACAGGATTCTGAGATGGATGAAAAATAAATGGCTATTTTTGGACTGTTACTTGGCTTGAGAAGGTCAGGATTATCTTAAATGTACGTTTTTACAAGTTTCCCCCTTTCTTCTAATCATAGTCATAGTATAAGCAATCTTAAAAGTTCAAGAGTATTTTTAGATTAAAAGTGTTTGCAGATCACTTTAAATTTTGTATTATACCTGTCAATGGCTTGAAGATCATTGGCTGGATTCCAAGTAGGATCAAATAATACAACAACATTGGCACCGACAAAATTGAGGCCTAGTCCACCAGCCCTGGAGGAAAGAGAAAAAAAAAAAGCACATTAGAACAGCAAAAAGTAATTGTGCTATAACTCAACTGTGCCAGGTTTCTATAGCCAAACAGTACAATATTTCATTAATTTCATCAAAGTAAGGTGGTGATTAAAATACAAATATGCCACAAATAAAATATTTAAGGCACAATTTTATTTCTACCACTCTAGAAAATCCCTTAAAAACTGGCCATTAGAGCCCATGTAAATAGGTTATGCTGGTTTTTACTTTTTTTTGATACTCAAATACTGTTTCTGCAAGATTTTCCTAACATAATTTTTAAAAACTGTTAGTACATTCTAGCTAAATAAAGTAATATATACATTTAAAAACTCAATTCAGGAATAGATGCACATCTTCTTCTTCCACTAAGTGCAGCTAAAACTCTGGATATTACACAGAAAATAAACAAAATTCTGAAAGGTACAGAGAAGATAGGCAGGCTAGGGACTACAAGGCCTAAGGAACGGCATGACAGTGAACGCTTAGCTTTCCTTTTTGCTTAAGATACCACAGGCTGGGTTCTTAACATATCCCAAGCTGTTGGAAATGCCAAAAGTCACAGACTAAAAAAAAGAAAAGAAAATCCCAAGAAGAGCCTTTTCCCTTTAGCCAAAGAACCAGGAAAGGTATAGCCTTGAAAGGCAGAAAAATGTGAGACAATAACCGCTCTACTCCTGCCAAACACCAAGGAACAGTCTGCGGCGCCGTCCCTACCTCAGTCACCAAAGGACAGTCTGCGGCGCCGTCCCTACCTCAGTCACCAAAGGACAGTCTGCGGCGCCGTCCCTACCTCAGTCACCAAAGGACAGTCTGCGGCGCCGTCCCTACCTCAGTCACCAAAGGACAGTCTGCGGCGCCGTCCCTACCTCAGTCACCAAAGGACAGTCTGCGGCGCCGTCCCTACCTCAGTCACCAAAGGACAGTCTGCGGCGCCGTCCCTACCTCAGTCACCAAAGGACAGTCTGCGGCGCCGTCCCTACCTCAGTCACCAAAGGACAGTCTGTGGCGCCGTCCCTACCTCAGTCACCAAAGGACAGTCTGTGGCACCGTCCCTGCCGTCCCTACCTCAGTCACCAAAGAACAGTCTGCGGCGCCGTCCCTACCTCAGTCACCAAACGACAGTCTGCGGCGCCGTCCCTACCTCAGTCACCAAACGACAGCCTGTGGCGCCGTCCCTACCTCAGTCACTAAAGGATGAATGAGGATGCTCGACTTCCACTCTTGCCTGGCTGTAATGAGACACTACCACTGATTCCTGCTAGGGTGGTGTCACGGAAGCATGAGTGAGGAGCCAGAGCTTTCATTTTCTGCCCAATGAGAACAGGGTCTCCCTTCATGGTGTCAGGGGATGCCAGGTGGGAGCAGTAGTAAAGCACTTCCCTCTCAGGCTATCAGCAGAGACCAAATACGGAACCTAGCTTTCCACCCCTACTTGGCTGCCATGGTGTCAGAGGAGGTATACTAAAATGGAAGATTTAAATCAGATGCAGAGTCTCATAACACAATACTCAAAATGTCCAAGACACAACGATACAATAAAAAGAATCACTTATACCAAGAACCAGGAAAATTACAGCTTGAATAAGACTGAGATGAATCAGATGTTAGAATTACCTGACAAGAATTTTAACAGAGTCATCAAAAAAAAGTTTCAACAATTACAAACATGCTTGAAGCAAAAAATTGAGTCTCAGCAAAAAAAAAAAAAAAAAAAAAAAGGATATAAAGAGCAAAATACAAATTTTGGAATGGAAAAATAGCTGAAATACAAAACTTGCCAAATGGGCTCAATAGTACAGTGGAAAAGACAAAAGACAGAATCAAGAACCAGTATCATTTACGAAATGTGAATAACAGAGAGAAACATCAGAAACCATGGAGATCAGAAGAAAGTGGCATATCTTTCAAGTGCTGAAAGAAAGGAGCTGTCAACCCAGAATTCTATACTCGGTGAAAATATCCTTCAGAACGGGAAGGGAGATGTGACACTCTCAGACTAAGGAAAACTAAGAGCACCTGTTACCAGCAGACTTAACCTCAAAGACTGGGGGCGAGAAAGTTCATACGGAAGAGAAAAAAGATAGCAGAAGGCGGCTTGGAACTACAGAAAGGAAAGAGGAAGATCAGACTAGGTTAAAATAGGGGTGACTATAAATACTATTTTATTTCTCATGAGTTTCATAAATCACTTTCATGGTTAAAGGAAAACTGCAACACAATCTGATATGCTGCTTAATGTATGTAGAGGAAATATCTAAGACAATTATATCTTAAAAGTGGAGTAGGAAAAGAAGCTTAAATGTAAGTAAAATTTCTGTATGTCATTCAAACTAGTAAACCTGTTTATCAGTAGGCTGTGAGAAGTTACTATGTACAATGTAATACCCAGAGCAACTACCCTGGCTATATTAATATTAGTCCAAGTATATGTCAGAGCAAAGAAAGTTACTAGTGAAAACAGGGACAATGCATGAGGACAAAAAGATCAATCTGCCAAAACACCAAACAGCACCAAAACAGCAGAGCTGAAAAATACACAAAGTCAAATTAATCAAGCTGAAAAGAGAAACAGACAAATGCACAAATGTGGGATGTTGAGGATTATTCAACTGGTAGAACTCCTAGAGAGAAAATTGGCAAGAATATGAGAGAACAAAATGGCCCACGAACACGATCTAAGTGACAGATACAGAAAACTCCACCTAGAACAGCACAATACACACACTTTTTTTTCCTGGTTCCTATAGAACATTCACCAAGATAGACCAAATCCTGGGCCATAAAACAAACCTCAACAAACTTAAAAGAACTGCAATTACACGGCTATATACTGAGTATAACGGTATTATACTGAGTATGTTCTCTAACAGTAATGGAATCAAACTAGCAACACATTTCAGGAGGATGACAAAAAAAAAAATTCCAAACACTTAGAAATTGAACAACATACATCTAAACAGCTCATGAGTCAAACAAAATCTGAAATCCCAAAAAATTGTGAAAAAAAATACAAGGAGAAATAAATAATAATGTAACACAAATGAAAACACAACATTTGAAAATATGTAGGAAGCAGCTAAGCAGGGCTTAGGAAAATTTATAACACTAAACGCTTATATTAGAAAAAAGCTAAAGGTCTCAAACCAATCATCTGAAGTCCTCCCTCTAAGAAATCAGAAAAAGCAGCAAAAAAAAAGCAAGCAGAGGAAAGCAAATAATAAAAAAGCACAATCAATACAGTTGAACACAGAAAAATAATAGAGAAAAATCAATGAAAAAAAGCTGATTTGTTGCTAAACTAGCAATGACAAAGATAAAAGAAAATACACAAATTACCAATAGTAGGAACGAAGTAAGGGGTATCACTACAGATCCTACTGCTATTAAAAGGATAAATGAATGCTATAAAAAATTTTATGGTCATAAATTCAACAAGCTAGAAAAAAAACAATTCCTCAAAAACCACAAACCACTGAACTCAACTAAATGAAACAGACAACCTGAATAGTCCTATAACCATTAAAGAAACTGAGTATGTATTTAGAAAAACTCTTAGGGAAAAAAAATAACCCCTCCAGGCCCAGATGATTCCACTGAAGAATTTTACCATTTACAGAAGCATTAACACCAGCTTTATACAATAAGCACATGAAGAGATGTTTAATATCATTAGATATTAGGTAAATGCAAATCCAAACCACAATAACATGTCTCTACATGTCCATCAGAATGGCTAAAATTAAAAAAATAGTGATAGCAAACGTTAGTGAAAAAGGAGAGGAACTTGATCACCACACACTGCCGCTGGGAATGTAAAACCATACAGCCACTTTGGAAACAGTTTAGCAATTTCTTATAAAACAAAATATGCAACTACCACATAATGCAGCAGTTGCACTATTTAGCATTTATCCCAGAGGAACGAAAACTAACGTTCAAACAAAAAGCTGTACACAAATGTTAATAGCTTTATCTGTAATAGCTGAAAACTGGAAACTACCCAGATGCCCTTCAACAGGTGAATGTTTAAGCAAACTGGTATCCACATCATGAATACTAAGAGCAATAAAAAGAAAAGAACCATTGATACATACAACAACTGGATGAATTTACAGGGAAGTATGCTGAGTGAAAAAAGCCAACCCCAAAAGGTTACATACTTTATGACTCCCTTTACATAACGTTCTTATGTTATTCTAAATTATAGAAATGGAGAACAGATTAGTGATTTCTAGAGCTCAGGGAGAAAGGGGAGAGAGGAAAGTAGATGTGGCTATAAAAGGACAGCATGAGGGATTCTTGTGATGGAAATGTTATGCTCTTCACTGTATCAATGTCAGTATCCTGGTTGTGATAATGTACTACAGTTTTACAAGATATTACATTGGGGGAACTGGGTAAAGAGGGCCTGGGATCCCTCTGTAATTTTTCTTATAAGTACCGTGCGCTAACCGATTGCGCCTCTGGAGCCACTGTATTTTTTCTTAAAACTACTTGTGAATCTAGATATATCTCAGAATAAAAAGTTTAATTTAAAAATATGGCTAACAATAACATCCAGATAGCCTTAACACAGAATGGATTCTTAAGTACAGATTATTTCTACACCACATGTTGATCACAATGCAGGCAGTCAGGGTGCTACTGCATATACTTCAGGCTTGTCATAGTGAATACAGAGAGCCAAGAGTTACACTGCAACAGGATGCCACACGTTCTCTCTCCAAAAGGAAGAGAACAAGATGAAATAACATCAATGCTCATTTTATAATGAGCTACATCTAATACTTCCCTGGGCCCAGAGTTCTTTTTCTCCATATATTTTCTCTTTGGGCTGGTGATACCACCCATATACTCACTCATCAAAGCCAAAGCCATGCTAAGTATCACTACAGACGTTTTCTTCTCCATCATTACTTCCCTTTCCCACTAAAAGCTAACCAGTATCAAGTCCTGTCACATTTAGCTCAGAAATG